CGACTGAATACCGCAGACGCAGAAACCGGCGAATCCGACAGGTCTTGCACCTGGTGAATTTTTTCCTCGGTTGGCCCTGGGAAGAGTCTGAAGCTACTGGGAAAAGTTGCACACCGGACATACACCGGATATTCACAAAGTCAGTTCCTTTTCCGTGGTTATTTCTTATTCCCCTATTAATATACCGAAATAGAAGGGTATAATAACTAGATAATAATTAAATAACTGCTTCATTTTTTAGAAGATGTTGAAAAACAAGATCACTTCTTCTTTTTGACCTGTATAAATGAAATTTTTTACTAATATTGAATCCGCTTATTTTCAGCTCCTTAACAGTGAGGGAATTATATTATTTGAAAAATAAAATATTACAATAATAATCGATCTGTAATTTGGTCGTTAATCGATCTGCACATGCAATAATTTCTACACCTTCGAAATCCTTACGTACACCGGTCTCGAAAACTAATTTCTCATCTGGTAATACCTCTATAAACCTGTCAGATTCCCAAACCCCACTGGAGGAGGTGTAGATGACAACCAACTCTACAAATTATAACTAATCTAATTAAGGCTCGATGGGGTATTCAATATTCACGGACCTCTCACACAAGACATTCACGCTAATAAATACAGTTTCAACAAACGCAAAGAAACACAAGATGATATATCTACAAAGTATTATGTACAACAATGAATCCTCTAAAAATCTGGGACCCAGGTACTCGCGTCCGCGCTTAAGCACAATTCCTCATATCTGGTGGCATTCCTTCCTCATTCGCTCCCTATATGTAGCCAAGGTATGGCATTAAATGGGACACATCGAGCAACCATTCTCTACCGGGCATACGCACGGAATAAAAGTACTCGTGTGCCAACCTCGCATGGCCTATTCTTAATCGGGTGAGGATGACTTCTCTTCATGTTATCAGATCCTCCTATTCGCCAGATTATTTTAACTTAGCAGAGAAGTTCTGCCAATACAATTCATTATTATTTCTCTTATATTTGTCATTTAACTTTACTGTAAGGTTGTAGTTTTATCTTCTACACTGTTCTACGATTCATTATCTTCTAATGAGACACGTTAGGATTTCCTGACAATTTAAATATTTTGACCTGTTTTAGTGTAAGTGTTTCCTTAAAATATCAGCTTTTATATCAGGTAAATGTCCTTTGAGTTATTCTTTTGTCACATTAAAAGATCCTTTTTAACCCAAATGTACTTCAGTTATTGCCAATAAAATGCCGGTGCGTTGTGTATATTTTTATGCGTATCAAACCAAACAATGTAATTAAGCATAGTTTAGCCGTGGAACAGGTTTACAATTGATTATCCGCCGGTTCGGGGGGGTACAGGGTCGACCGCAACAGTCCAATCCGGGGGATAATTGGCGGCGAACCCGTCGAATTGTGTGCATTGTTTTGACCGCAAGGCGATTGTACCGGGTTGCACAGGTTGTTAGACGTGGTTTTAAGGTCGGCCTTGTGCGGGCCCGTTGACTTAGATCCGAGATGCGCAGTTGATCGGGACGGGTTTAGCTTTTAAGCAAGGTCAAGGCACGCCGGACCCCTCCAAAGATTGAGCCAACGACCCCCAAAATGACTCAGCCCGCACACACACAAGCCCAAGGTAGAGTTTCATCCATCTCCGGTGACCTCTTTTGCAAGATTACGTAACTCGATCAAAAGTGGTTTACCGTCTGTGGTTATAGTTGCAGGGCTATAGCATCAGCCTTTAATACTTTCAACGTTAAAAAATGTTCTACAAACACATATTTCAATGTACGATAAGCATGAGTGAGATGGTCAATTTTACGCTTGTAGTCAACGCAAGATCGATACTATCCACATAATCGCAAGAAACGTTTATTTTCCCTCTTTTATATCTTTCAATCTAAACTTTTACGGACGTTGGTCTGTGTGAGACGACCAACAACTGTGATGGTATTCGATAAATGACGACGACATTGACGATAAAAAACGTCATGAAATCAAAGTTTTCTGTTAATTTTCGACCATCTTGTTTGGGCTTTTAATGTTCCATGTTTGAGCATTGATTTTTTTGCTGTTGGCCATTGAAGTCTCAAGTTCTATGCTATCACACAATCTATCGAATTTATTGAATGTTCGATCCTTGGCCACTCATAATTAGAAGGCCAGGTACGATATCAATGGTGCGTTTTCAAAAGGCAAGTGATTTCTAGTGGGATCGATACCTAATAATACAAGCTTCTTGGAGGGAGCGTCCTTGTTGAAAAAAAGACGTGATTATTTTCCAAAATAATCCACAGGTATTGGGTCGTTTAACGTTCTCTCGTTGCAAACACCCTGTGACTTTCTAGTTTTCTATTCTTATCTATGCAATTGTGAAAAGCGGAAAAAACACAATAATCAACTAACCTTACGATAGATTCACCTATCTTTCCATCTGTATTTCATTTGGTGCCGGTCAATACCTCTCCTCCGATACCTCCTACCTAACTGCTTTGGTAGTAGTTGGTTAACAACAAATCAACCAATTAACAAATTTACCAACCAACCATCCATCTTCTATTCATTCAATCAACCAACTCACCTACCAACCTACAAAACAAGACTACCTGCCTACCAACCAACCAACAAACCTCCTACCTATCAATCAATCATACTACCTACCAACAACCATCCTTCGACCAATACAGCTAACCAACCAATCTTCCTCACCATATATCTAATTATATATCTATAACGTATTTTGTGTCGGTCTATCTCTCTCTGCATCTCTCTTTCGATCTATGTTATATCTATGTACATTTAATTTTGAGTCTGTCTCATTCTTTTTCTCTCTCACACACACACACAAGCGCGCGCACACGCACACACACACTTTCTCTCTTACTTTGTCTGTCTATTTCTCTCTTTATCCGTCCGTCGGTATCTCTCGCTCTCTCTCTCTCTCTCTCTCTCTCTCTTTTTCTTTATCTATTTATCTGTATGTATGTATGTCTATCTGTCTGGCTCTCTCTCTCTTTTTCTTTATCTATCTGTCTGTATGTATGTCTATCTGTCTGGCTCTCTCTATGTATGTGTCTCTCTCTCTCTCTCTCTCTCTCTCTCTCTCTCTTTCTTTATCTGTCTGTCTGTATGTTTCTATCTCTCTTTATCTATCTCATAGCTTACCATCCTCGAGCCTAATCTCCACCAAAAGTCCATTCACGATGCCTCCTTCAAGTTCTTATCTCTACTTCCATATTCCTGAGATACGGATTGACTTTTTAAACAGAACAATAGATAACAGTATATTTTTTCCAATTGGTAATGTGTCTCCCTAACCAACCGACAGATCTAACTACGTGTATATCTGCGTATCTACCTATATTTCATTTTGCGTCTGTCACTCATTCATTTTCGTTCCCTTTTACCTCTCTCTCACTCTTCCTCTCTTTTTCTGCCATTCCCGCTAACTCTTTCCTCTCTTTTGTTTTATCTTTCTCGAGGGTTTCTATTTTTCTATCGCTCTCACGATTAACTTATCGGGTCTGTCTCTATAAGGTTACTATCTTTTTATATAATTAGTTTGGTTTCGTTTAAGTGGCTTTTTTTATATCATTGTTGCCTCTCAGTATAACAAAAAATGATCCCCACTGTTATTAAATTTAAATTATTAAAAGTCATTTTATCATATTCTAATAATTTTTATTATTTATTTTGTAAGATGAGTACCGGCAAAACAAAAGTAAAATGTTAGTACCCAGATTATTGAACCGCAATTTCATTTTTCCCCTCAATGCACAAATGTGCCCGGTCACATGTCCAGAAACATTTCTTCGAGCGATTGGCCCGTGTCCAGAAGGGAATTTACTCAATTGCCGCCTTATTGGAGTATCAATAAAATCCGAACAGGCATGTCCAGGTACTTAAGGAGAGAACGGCCCAGTCCCATTGAAACAGGTTCAACACACCCGCAGATATAATCTGGACAGGTTGGAAAGTATCCCAGTACAATTTTAACAGGCGGTTTAAATCCGAACCTCCCGCAAGATCCAAAACTGTATTACGACTCGTAAAATCCACGACGCCCTCAGGACACAATCAAGACTTGAAATTTTAAGAGCCAAAAGAGCCTTATCTACGCGTTGTTAAATTTTACAATCGGATAAATTTAAACTTGATTGTATTGTGGTGTGACTTCGAGTGCCCACCACGGGTGCATCGTAAATGTACAGTTTTCTTCTTTTTGTCTCGAGCATGTAAACCTTTTCTTGTCCAGACTTTAACGATCTATTTACCCTTGAAATACCCCCAGCTAAGCTAATAACTTTTATGATTTTCTAAATGTGGATATAACACAATCTTGCGATTAAAAGCAGCGTAAATAATAGATGAACTATTTTCACCAAATTTTCCTTTTCAATCTTTTCTTATCAAGTCTTTTCACTTACGCAGGCACATTTTTATTGACAATTTCTCGACAAATCGAAAACCTGAGCAATTTCGCTTTTACACATCCTCCTCCTACATATTTCTTCTTGTTTGTTAAATTTTCCACATCGTTCTCAATATAGTTTATTGTATTTGCATTTAATTTCAGAGGAAATAATTAACGTATGCTCTCTTGTGAATCAAATAGGAAAATACAAGTATTTTGAAGAAAAAGAACAGAAAAACAACATTATCCTTTATGGTAATCATCCACATTCCCGACAGTGTATCTCCATTTTTTTAACCAACAAGAAGTTTTACTTTGTGGTAATTATGATGATTAAGCGCGTGGGCTTTTTGATAACGAACTTTTATACGTTGAATATAATACGGACTTCCGTTCACGGGTGAAAAGGCTTAACATATCTCTAAAATGGAAAAGTGATTGTTTTTAATAGGATACGAGCCGTTAAGATGTATTCATTAAGATTAGACTGATGCACTCCGCTTACTTCTTTATATTATATTATAATTAATCAAACCTGATGTTCATGACTCGAATTTTTTTAAATGTTTTAATATAAAAAGAAATCTACCTCTTGACACTGAATCCATAGCATGATGGCGTCTTTGAATCTAAGCGGTCCGCCCAAGTAGGACCCTCCGGAGTTTTGCTGTTCCTGAAGGATGTCAGAAAACTTCCTGCCCTGCTGTGCTAGGACCTGGAGTGATCTGAAAGAGAAAAGACAGAAAAATGTCAATTATAACTTCAAGGTTGAATATAACATGGAATATGAATGAACGTTTTATTTATCAGAGAGGGCAAAATATACACAGAGAAGGTACATATAGACAGATATAAAAATGAAGATGGATTTATGGGGTAAAACAGAAGAAGAAGAAGAAAGAAAAACAAAGAGAGAGAGAGATTGTGTGAGCGTTTGTGTTGGGATTTGTTGTGCGTATGTGTGTATGAGAGATTTGAAATTGAAAAAGGAAAAATTGAGAGAGATGACAGACATAAATAAAAATATATTTAAATTCATAAAATAATTGGAATCGAAAGGGGACAGAGTGACGCCAATAAATTGTAGATGGATGGTTAGGTAAATGTATACACCTAAACACTGAGAGGCAAAAAAAATGGCCACCCTCCTTTTTTTTGGGAAATATTTGCAGTCGTTATAATTTTTTCTGTTGTTTACTGCACATTTTTAAATAAAAATATAAGATATAGCTAAATAAAAAATTAAACTGCGTAAAACAATTTTACCAAATGAATTGGATGGATGAGGTTGGTTGGTTTGTAGGTAGGTTGATTTGTTGGTTGTAGGTGGTAGGTTAGTTGGTTGAATGGTTGATTCGTAAGTAGGTAAGAGTGTTGGTGGATTGGGTGGATGGAAGATCGGTTGGTAGGCAGATAGGTAAGCTGGTTGGTAAATAGGTAGGTTGGTATCTGGGATGGATGATTGGATGGTTGGTAAGTAGGTGCTGGTACGCTGGCTGGTTGGTCGGTTCCAAACTTATCACTTCTAAGATATAGATTGTTGTTTATTGCTCTGTTAATGAAAACATTGCCCGTATCTGAGGAATATAAAAGTAGAGACAATATTTTTCCTCCATTAGGAAGCATCGTGAATGGTTTTAAAAGATAGAAAAAAAGAGATAATAAAGACAGAAAGGAGGTATGAGAGAGAGAGAGAGAGAGAGAGAGAGAGAGAGAGAGAGAGAGAGAGAGAGAGAGAGAGAGAGANGAGTGAGAGAGAAAGAGAGAGTAAGAGGGAGGGAGGGAGAGAATAGGTACAAAGGAAGGTTTTACAGATATGTAGTTGTTGGTAGTCAGAATGGTTGGTTGTGGTAGGCAGGCTGTTTGGTTGGTTGAGTGGTTTGTAGGTAGGTTTATTGATTGGTAGGTAGGCAGGTTGATGGTTTGCAGTTAGGTAAGCAACAAATCTAAGTTTTTCTTTTAACTCTCCTCAATGCTTCTTGCTGCATCTTTCTCCAGCTTAAAATCGCCTTTCCGATGCGACTAGACTGTATCTGGGCTTGTGGCTCACTTTTTTAAATGGACAATTGCAAAGGTTTCTGGTTTTTCTTCAGATAGATGTCATGTTACTATCTCTGCTTCGCCCTCCTCTTAAGATGGCAGTTAAGGTTGGTTGATAGGTAAGAGGCTTGTTGGCTGGTTGAATGGTAGGTTAGTTAGTTGGTTGATAGCTAGGTAGGCTTGTTTAGGGAAACAAACCTGTACACGTTCCGGACTGTGTTTTTTAAGTATTCTATTATTCTAGTTTATTGTGTGAAACAAAAGCCAAGTGATTCCATATAAAATGTAATATCTGTGTCCCGTCATTTTAAACAAAAAAGTTATTCCTATTTAAAATTGAAAACCCAAGTAATTAAAAGGTCCGTAATTAATTTTCAACGCCAGAAGCAAACAAAACCGATTATTTTTTTATAGGGTGCAAATTCAGTCTTATTTAGCTGTTGTTTAATTCAATATACTAGAATCCTTTAAAAAAAATAAAATAAAAATAATGGTATTAAAAATATCGTAATACTGTTCATTCTGTTGTCACCAATAGTAGTAGTACCATAATTACTGTCATGACTTATTAAAACTAATGCTTGCTGGTTCTTGTGCCAGTTTTAGTACTTGCTACAGCAACTTGGGATAGGTATAGGGATAATGGAGGCTGCCACAAGACCTACTGCACCTCGACCTGAATGTATTGTGCTCCCCTGTTATTTATAATTCACTGGTCAGCTTCATTATTAATCAGCCTTCACAGCTTTGCCAGCGGTTACTTGGTGTAAGATCCTGCTTGTGGCTTTTCCCGTCCTAGTTGCAAGAACCCGCACCTACAGCAACTAACTTCCGTAATTTTCTACAAAGGTGTCAAAATTAACCAAAGAATCACATTTATCCACCCACTCGCCTCTTATCAACCTATCCTAACTCTATCTACCATTAAACCTGCATAAATACCAAAAGGCTTATAATTATATCTACGTACACCCTCCACTCACTCACCATCTCGTTATACATCCACATATTTATCTACCAAAACATCAAACCATTCTAGATATATGAACCAGTAATCAATCAAATCATGAATCTATCTAATGTATACTAAAGAACCTTAGAATCACGTCCTACTATCTACAACCACCTACCCACTCACCTACCTTGTTATCCATCCGCTTATTTACCTATCTATCTGAAAAAACTAGCCTACCTACACATATAAACGTAATAATCAATCAAATCTTGAATCAAATCCTACTATTTACAACCATCTACACGCACCTACCTCGTTATACATCCACTTTTTACCTACCAAAACGTCAAACCATTCTAGATATATGAACCAGTAATCAATCAAATCATTAATCTATCTAATGTGTATTAAAGAACCTTAGAATCACGTCCTACTATGTACAACCACCTACCCACTCACCTACCTCGTTATCCATCCGCTTATTTACCTATCTACCTGAAAAAACTAACTTGCCTAAACATATGAACGCAATAATCATTCAAATCCAACTATTTACAACCATCTACCCACTCGTCTGTCTCGTTATGAAATCCTCCTATTTATTCACCAAAAAACTACCGAAACATATCAATCAAACCACGAATCCATTTCTCATTAAACCTACATACATGCCAAAAGACCCTAGAATCAAATCCAACTATTAACACCTACCCACGCACCAGCCTAGTAATCATTCTACCTATTTACCCATCTGCCTACCAAATTACCGAGCTAGGCATATGACCCTAATTATGTATTATATCCTGAATCTGTGTAGAATCAAATCTTTATTTCCAACAACCATCAATGTTATTCGTCATTTCTCCCAATGGCCAACCATCGAACTTATACACTCATTAATCTTTTAATCAACCCAAATCTTGTTTAAGAGTCAATAAAGGCAAAGCGCCCATTCTTCCTGTTAATTCAGTGTGCAGTACGTTTTGTACTTGTTTTTTAAGGGGGATAAACTTATTTTTGAATTAGAGTCACGTATCTGCCGGCCAGAAAGCGCCAAGGGAAGCAACTTCGTCGGTAATTAGCCGGTGAATAGGCCGTCTTATCTCCGTTCCCTTCACGCCAATTAAAGCTTCCAGGGGAACGACGGCCCCGGCCGGCTTCTTAACGCGAATCTGCTTTGTGTTCCCTCCTCACAACCCCTTCAACTTCCACATATCGTTTATTAACAAAAGGCGATTCGGGAGGAATCCGAGGTTTGCCACATCGTGTCTTTCCCTATCCTCCGAGCCTCTTAATTAACATAAACAATCCTCTTACTATAAGAGGATCAACATTACAACATTCTTAATTGTGCAACATTCAGAAAGCTTTCAAGTGATCCAACACGGTTAAAATTAAAGAGAAAAAATCACATTAATCAAGTTTCACACTCACTTTCATTCGATTTTACGTCCGGCCCAATTCCATATTAAAATTCATGGCATGTTTTAACATTGATTTCTCCTTCGGTGACATTCAAATTCAGCTTGATCATTTAGTCAAAGTAAATAAACTTTTCAGTAACCCACAACGTTTCTAAGGATCAAGGTGACTGCATACTTGCCCCTTTCTTGTCCAACGTTGCCCCAGGGCAACGCCAAATTTAGAAAAATTACTATAGCTTACTTAATTCTATATGTTTAGTGCAGTGTTTTTCTTTCAATGTTTCATCGCTAATATTGGCAACACTGGTTTATTTAGCGCCAATCTAAAATATCCATCTTGCGATCTTTTATCTCCAGCATGACTCTTCACCCCACGTCAACTCGTATCGATTGTTATATTTGCCAAAAATAAAATTTTTCATATCACGTTTATAATTTAAAGCTTTCTTGTCCTAAGTTGCTTCAGAGCAATGACAATTTTGTTTCAGTTTATCGGGAAATTCCGTGAATTTAGGTGTATTGGTTTTCCTTCAGGGCTTCATCCCGTGTGTTGGCAAACTGCTTTATTTAGCGCTATCCATCTTGTGATCTTCTAACTTCTAATATCGCTTTTATAATTTAACGCTTTCTTGCCTTAAGTTGCTCCTGAGCAATGACAACTTAAGCAATTTTGTTTAAGCTTATCGGGAAATTCCGTGAGTATTAGTTTTCTTTCAATGCTTCATCCCGTGTATTGGCAACACTGATTCCTTTAGCGCCAATCTAATATATACATCTTGTGATCTACCTCCAACATGTCTCTTCACCCCACGACTACATCTTGTATCGATTGTTATATTTGTCAAAAAAATTTCATGGCACGTTTATAATTTAACCCTTTCTTGCCTTAAGTTGCTTCAGAGCAATGACAACTTTAGCAATTTTGTTTAAGCTTAGCGGGAAATTCCGTAGTTTAGGGGGTGTTTTTTTTTTCTTCAATGTTTCATCCCGTGTATTGGCAATATATTTGGGGCAATCTAAACTCTATAATTAAACTCATTGGATTTCTCGCTAACGTTTTAACAAAATTGCCAAATTTCGTCTTGCTCTATGACAACATTAGGCTATAAAGGGTTAACTATCTGTATTTAAAGGTGCCTTTAAATGACTACACCAATCTACCATTAGGGTTAAACGGCGTTTTGAATTAAGTTCAAACTCAGTTTAAACTTGAACAACGGTGAAAAGGGCCCCCCAGGCGACGGAACGTTATTAGCTGGTTAGGGATGGTTAGGGTTATAAAGGATACAAATAATCATCTACCTAC